GGTAGTGGTGGTGGTGGTGGTGGTGGTGGTAGTGGACTGTGTTGTGGTGGTGGTTGTGGTGGTGGTGGTGGTGGTGGTGGTGGACTGTGTGGTGGTGGTGGACTGTGTGGTGGTGGTGGTGGTGGACTGTGTGGTGGTGGTGGTGGTTGTGGTGGTGGTGGTGGTGGTTGTGGTGGTGATGGACTGTGTGGTTGTGATGGACTTTGTTGTGGTGGTGGTGGTGGACTGTGTGGTGGTGATGGACTGTGTGGTGGTGGTGGTGGACTGTGTGGTGGTGGTGGTGGTTGTGGTGGTGGTGGTGGTGGTTGTGGTGGTGATGGACTGTGTGGTGGTGGTGGACTGTGTTGTGGTGGTGGTGGTGGACTGTGTGGTGGTGGTGGACTGTGTGGTGGTGGTGGTGTTGGTGGTGGTTGTGGTGGTGGACTGTGTGGTGGTTGTGGTGGTGGACTGTGTGGTGGTGGTGGTGGTGGTGGTGGTTGTGGTGGTGGACTGTGTGGTGGTGGTGGTGGTGGACTGTGTGGTGGTGGTGGTGGTGGTTGTGGTGGTGGTGGTGGTGGTTGTGGTGGTGGACTGTGTGGTGGTGGTGGTGATGGACTGTGTGGTGGTGGTGGTGGTGGTGGTGGTGGACTGTGTGGTGGTGGTGGTGGTGGGCTGTGTGGTGGTGGTGGTGGTGGACTGTGTGGTGGTGGTGATAGTGGTGGTGGTGGTGGACTGTGTGGTGGTGGTGGTGGTGGACTTTGTGGTGGTGGTGGTGGTGGTGGACTGTTTGTTGGTGGTGGTTGTGGTGTTGGTGGTGGTGGACTGTGTGATGGTGGTGGTGGTGGACTGTGTGGTGGTGGTGGTGGTGGACTGTGTGGTGGTGGTGATAGTGGTGGTGGTGGTGGACTGTGTGGTGGTGGTGGTGGTGGACTTTGTGGTGGTGGTGGTGGTGGTGGACTGTTTGTTGGTGGTGGTTGTGGTGTTGGTGGTGGTGGACTGTGTGATGGTGGTGGTGGTGGACTGTGTGGTGGTGGTGGTGGTGGTGGACTGTGTGGTGGTGGTGGTAGTGGTGGTGGTGGTGGACTGTGTGGTGGTAGTGGTGGTGGTGGTCAAAAAGGTCTTATCTTCCTCTACCTTTGACCAAACTAGAACTTCTGCTCGTGGCACTGGCAGATATGACATTGTTCTAGAACTCTCCCAAGTCGTGTCCATGGGGACATTGTATCGGTCTGATGGTAAGGATTTGGTAGAGTCGTAGAGCACCCAGAGTTCAAATCTTTAGCGTCTCTTCTTAGACACAAGTAACAAGACACTAGCTCAATGCGTTTAGCCGTACCTATTTTTAACTCTAAATCGACATACATGCATTAGTCAAACACTCACTTCAGACCGGAAGTAGAATTTTCAAAAAAAAAGATCCGCCGCCATTTTTAACTTCAGTTAAAAACTATTTTTCAACCTTTTTTTTTTTGTCGGATAAAGTCGAATCACTTGAAGAAACTCCAGTTAACGATCGCGGGAAGGAGATGAGAAATTTACCTTTAGACTCTTAAAACCTTCCTTCTCTGATCTACCCGGGGAGGGGAAGCGCAGGGAGGGGGTGGAGGGGTGGAGATAGTTAAATGACGTCATGTTTGATTTCACCGAACAGGGTGCTAGAGCACCCAGCAAAATGGCGGTACAGTGCCAGGCTACGGTGGGGGGGGGGGGCACAATGGCGGTGTATACTAGTGTGGCGGGGGGGGGGGTCACACTGGCGGTGTATACTAGTGTGATGATGTTGTAAAGTGGTTTGTGTAGCTATCAGAGATGTTACGTCATCAATGTAGAACTAACGACCACATGTGTCGTTCGCCGTGATGTGTCACCACCACACACATCGTGATGTGTTACCACACACATCCTGATGTGTCACCACCACACACATCGTGATGTTTCACCACCACACACGTCGTGATGTGTTACCACACACATCGTGATGTGTCACCATCACACACATCGTGATGTCTCAACACCACAGACTTCTTGATGTGTCACCATAACACACATTTATAGAATGTGTGAGAGAGAGAGGGGGGGGGGGAGAGAGAGTGTGTGTGTGAGAGAGGGAGAGTGTGTGTGACAGTATGTGTGTGAGAGAGAGAGGGAGAGAGAGTGTGTGTATGAGAAAGGGAGAGTGTGTGTCTGACAGAGTGTGTGTGTGTGACAGAGTGTGTGTGTGTGAGAGAGAGAGGGTGTGAGTGTGCGTGTATGTCAGGTATGGTAGATTGTTGCATAACATAAGCAAACCTTTCTTCCGACCATCACAAAAATGTTGACTCGAGTTTGAGTTTCCATTTATCAGCGAGATATTTCTCTCTTTCAATTCTTAGGTTACCGATTTATGAACAGTTTAATTTCTACACCCCACCCCACACACTCACACACTCTCACACACAAATACATCATTACATACAAATGTCATTTATAGTCATGAAGTCAACAATTATTTCGACTACATTTGTACACAATAATTGTACACAGCTACAGACTGTACACGCCAAATAAAGGGCAGTAACTGGAGCTCCAGAACGTGAAGGAACAAGCTGTGTCATATCACTGGGATATCTTTCAAATTGGAGGAAAACAAATTTCTATGCGCTCGTAGAACCTACTTGCTTCTGGACAATGCCATGTTTGTTTCATGGGTCTGCTGGGGGAGGGGGGGGGGGGGGGTGACGGCTAAGGTAGGGGTTATTATGAGTGGAGGGTGGGGGGGGGGGGCGGGAGGGGGGGGGGGGGGTTAAACAGGTGCGTGTTTACGGTGCCATCGATGAAAATCTGCAAATTGTTGAGGAATCGTTTCTCACCTCAATGTACACACATCTCCACATACACACACACATCTCCACACACACACACACATCTCCATCTCCACACACACAATTGTTGGGGAATCGTTTCTCACCTTAATGTACACACATCTCCACATACACACACACATCTCCACACACACACACACATCTCCATCTCCACACACACAATTGTTGAGGAATCGTTTCTCACCTTAATGTACACACATCTTCGCATACACACACACATCTCCACACACACACACACATCTCCATCTCCACACACACAATTGTTGGGGAATCGTTCCTCACCTTAATGTACACACATCTTCGCACACACACACAATCTCCACACACACACATTTACACACACATCTACATCTCCACACACACACTTGTTGGGGAATCGTTTCTCACCTTAATGTACACACATCTCCACACACACACACACATCTCCACACACACATCTACATCTCCACACACACAATTGTTGGGGAATCGTTTCTCACCTCAATGTACACACATCTCCACATACACACACACATCTCCACACACACACACACATCTCCATCTCCACACACACAATTGTTGAGGAATCGTTTCTCACCTCAATGTACACACATCTCCACATACACACACACATCTCCACACACACACACACATCTCCATCTCCACACACACAATTGTTGGGGAATCGTTTCTCACCTTAATGTACACACATCTTCGCATACACACACACATCTCCACACACACACACACATCTCCATCTCCACACACACAATTGTTGGGGAATCGTTCCTCACCTTAATGTACACACATCTTCGCACACACACACAATCTCCACACACACACATTTACACACACATCTACATCTCCACACACACACTTGTTGGGGAATCGTTTCTCACCTTAATGTACACACATCTTCGCATACACACACACATCTCCACACACACACACACATCTCCATCTCCACACACACAATTGTTGGGGAATCGTTCCTCACCTTAATGTACACACATCTTCGCACACACACACAATCTCCACACACACACATTTACACACACATCTACATCTCCACACACACACTTGTTGGGGAATCGTTTCTCACCTTAATGTACACACATCTCCACACACACACACACATCTCCACACACACATCTACATCTCCACACACACACACATCTCCACACACACAGATCCACACACACAGATCCACACACACACCTCCACAAACACATCTCCACACACACACACACATCTCCCCACACGGCTGTATTTCCACGTCCGTATACAAACATCATTTGAAACTAGAAAGAAATGTCTTATCAAATGTGCTCCGCTCGGCTTTATTATAATGCAGCAGTAATGTACGATAGGGAGGGAGGGGAGGGGAGGGGGAGGGGAACTGGTTTAGGGTTAAATTAGAAGGTCAGCTTGTACTAAGATAGGCGGACATCAATGACGTCATACGGCGTATTACAACTTCCGCTTTTGGTGCTTTACGATAAGAGTCCCAGGTACATACAGGAAGTAGCTAGTGCTAACGTGTATCAGCAGGCACTGACAGGCAGGGACGTGTGCAGGCAGGTACAGGCAGGTACTTGCAGGTACAGGCAGGTACTTGCAGGTACAGGCAGGTACTTGCAGGTACTGGCAGGTACTTGCAGGTACTGGCAGATCTAAGGGCTACAGGCATGTTCTGCTGTAGCGAGAAGTGACGTATGCAGCGCGTTTAATTTTAAATGCAGAATAAAAATGTAATTAACGCTAAGCGGAATAGGGTGCTACATCTCCAAGAAATATTTCTTCAGGTGCTTGAGGGAAGGCAGGATAGACTGGACTTAAAGCTTTAGATGGGACGTCTTTATACAATCTGTGTAGGGTTTGGGTTAGGGTTAGTCATGTGATGTCATGTGATGTCATGAGGTGTCATGGGATGTCATGTGATGTGATGTAATGTCATGTGATGTCATGTGGTGTCATGTGATGTCATGTGATGTCATGTGATGTCATGTGATGTCATGTGGTGTCATGTGATGTCAGGTGGTGTTATATAGTGTTTAGTTGTGTTATGTCGTGTAGGTTTGTACACCGGTCAGGGGTCGAGAAATGTTTGTAAACTTTAGTTTATCTGCCACCGACAAGCAAACACTTGAAACTACCGGATGTGAAAAAATAAAAACTTACGGGCCACGAGAACTGAAAGGGCAGAGATGCCCTAATGTCAGCCATTGATGGCAGTGATGCCCTGGAGTCAGCTAATGGTCCACTCACGACTTGCTCGTGATGCCCCAGGGTGCACTCAGCACGGCGGGGTAGGGGGAGGAGATGGTGGGAGAGACACGCCCGGATTGTCAGTGTGGCTCTAGTGGCCACTGGGTCACCGTGACATGGGCTCTTCTGGTCGCAGGTCATGTTGACCGTACTGGGGGCGGGGCTGTTGACGTGGACGGGGCTGTTGAGGTGGGCGGGGTTGTTGACGTGGGCGGGGTTGTTGACGTGGGCGGGGCTGTTGACGTGGGCGGGGCTGTTGACCTGGGTGGGGCTGTTGACGTGGGCGGTGCTGCTGTTTGACTTGACGCACCAGGTGGGAGTGAGACGTGTCAATATCCTGACCTCAAAAACACCAGAACCCTGGGCCTGAGGAAACAAAAGTTTATCGTCTGGTATTGGCACAACTTTAGTGTCTGGTGTTGGCACAACTTTAGTGTCTGGTGTTGGCACAACTTTAGAGTCTGGTATTGGCACAACTTTAGTGTCTGGTATTGGCACAACTTTAGTGTCTGGTATTGGCACAACTTTAGTGTCTGGTATTGGCACAACTTTAGTGTCTGCTGATAGCACGTGCTAGGTCTACTTGGTTGTCTACTTGGTTGTCTACTTGGTTGTCTACTTGGTTTGTCTACTTGGTTTGTTTACTTGGTGTGTCTACTTGGTTTGTCTACTTGGTCTGTCTACTTGGTTTGTCTACTTGGTTTGTCTACTTGGTTGCCTACTTGGTTGTCTACTTGGTTTGTCTACTTGGTTGTCTACTTGGTTGTCTACTTGGTTGTCTACTTGGTTGTCTACTTGGTTGTCTACTTGGTTTGTCTACTTGGTTGCTAACTTGGTTGTCTACTTGGTTGTCTACTTGGTTGTCTACTTGGTTGTCTACTTGGTTTGTCTACTTGGTCTGTCTACTTGGTTTGTCTACTTGGTTGTCTACTTGGTTGCCTACTTGGTTTGTCTACTTGGTTTGTCTACTTGGTTTGCCTGTCCGTCGCTGCAATAGTTTATTTCTAAACGAATTAATCGTCTCAAACGTAAACAAAATAGACATCATGACGTCGACTTACAACAACAACCAACATTGACGTCTAACTTACAACAACAACCAACATTGACATCTGGCTTACAACAACAACCAACATTGACGTCTGATTTCAACAACCAACATTGACGTCTGACTTACTACAACAACCAACTTTGACGTCTGACTTACAACAACAAGCAACATTGACGTCTGACTTACTACAACAACCAACTTTGACGTCTGACTTACTACAACAACAACAACAAACAGCATTGACGTGTGACTTACAACAACAACAAAGAGTGACGCCTGACTGACAACAACAACAACATTGACGTGTGACGTACAACAACAACCAACAGTGACGTCTGACTTACAACACCAACCAACATTGACGTGTGACTTACAACAACAACAACAACCAACATAGACGTCTGACTTACAACAACAACAACAACTAACATTGACGTCTGATTTCAACAACCAACATTGACATCTGGCTTACAACAACAACCAACATTGACGTGTGACGTACAACAACAACCAACATTGACGTCTGACTTACAACAACAACCAACATTGACGTCTGACTTACAATAACAACAACAACCAACATTGACGTGTGACTTTCAACAACAACCAACATTGACGTGTGACTTTCAACAACAACCAACATTGACGTCTGACTTACAACAACAACAACAACCAACATTGACACTGACTTACAACAATAACCAACATTGACGTGTGACTTACAACAACAACCAACACAGATGTCTGACTTACAACAACAACAACCAACATTGACGTCTGACTTACAACTGGCCAACAAGAAACAAGCGCTGCTAACGTCACGATGGAGAGTGCTGGACTGTGATGGATTCGAACTCGCGGTATAGGCATGGTCTGATCTTTCATCCGCCTTTGTATGCATCGGCCATTCTGCCAGTCACTGGCTTGTCTGCCATCAGGGTGTGACCTAGTTATGTACTAAGTTCACTCAAGGGGGACCTAGTTCTGTACACAGTTCAATCAGGGTGACCTAGTTCTGTACACAGTTCAATCAGGGTGACCTAGTTCTGTACACAGTTCAATCAGGGTGACCTAGTTCTGTACACAGTTCAATCAGGGGTGACCTAGTTCTATACACGGTTTACTCCGTGTGGCCTAGTTCTGTACACAATTCACTCAGTATGTGACCTAGTTATGTACACAATTCACTCAGGGCGACCTAGTTCTGTACACAATTCACTCAGTGTGACCTAGATCTGTACAAAATTCAAAGGTGACCTAGTTCTGTACACAATTCACTCAGTATGTGACCTAGTTATGTACACAATTCACTCAGGGCGACCTAGTTCTGTACACAATTCACTCAGTGTGACCTAGATCTGTACAAAATTCAAAGGTGACCTAGTTCTGTACACAATTCACTCAGTATGTGACCTAGTTCTGTACACAGTTCTCTCAGGGTGACCTAATCCTGTACACAATTCACTGAGGATTGACCTCGGTCTGTACCATAGCTTGAATCACAAGACCCACTCCTTAGAACAGTTCAATGTTTGAGGTCTGGCTACATTTCCGGTGCCGTCCTGAAAGTAGAAGTGGCTAAACTGACAAGTCAACACAAAGTAGAAGTGGCTGAACTGTCAACACAAAGTAGAAGTGGCTGAACTGTCAACACAAAGTAGAAGTGGCTGAACTGACAAGTCGAACACAAAGTAGAAGTGGCTGAACTGACAAGTCAACACAAAAGTCATTTCGTCTGGATCAAAGACCCTCAACTAGAAAACTTCAAGCGATCAACTAAAGAAACAGAACAAAACTAGGATCAAAGTTCAATACAGGATCGAAGTTCAATATTTGGTTCGGATCATAAAGGAGAAAAATGTATCCAGCTGAAATTGGGAGATGATCAAATTTGTGCAACATATAAGAGAGTATACTCCACGACAGTTCTGCACATGTGTGCACCACACACTAATTATATAATCGGTTTCAATTGTAGCGCTAAACTAACAAAACTAGCAATATAATCCGCTGAAATTGTGCAGCAAATCTATAAATATAATCAAAACATTTGTGTAGCAAAACTAGCAATATAATCCACTGAAATTGTGTAGCAAATCTAGAAATATAATCCGCTGAAACTGTGTAGCAAAACTAGCAATATAATCAGCTTTTTAATCATCTGAATTTGGGAAGTGGCGAAACCAAATGAAGGCACAAATCTGCTAGCCGTAATACTTACAGCTCTCCACAGCTGGCAGACGTTAGATTTACAGCTGGCAGCCGTTAGATTTACAGCTGTTGGCTGATGTACTTACAGTTCTCTAAACAATCCCTATATTATCCTGAGCTCTAGTCGCAGGCTAGGTAACCATTAGCGTGGTGTAGGTAAATAGTTTGTGTGATCAGCCGGTCCTCTAGATTGCGAGTTAACCCCCTTAGGTAGGGCTTGAACTCACCCCCTTGGTGGCAGTCAACTGACCTTATACACGCGCACAGGGGGGACTACATCTCTCAGATATGGTGTGACGTCACAGGCGTAACCGTAGACTCTACAGGGGGGGGGGGAAAGGTCCGGCCAGTCTGGTGGTTCCATGGACAAACAGGGGGGGCGGGGGGAGTACGGACACCGCCCCTGGGTTAGTAGCACCGCCGCAGGAACAAGGGGCGCCGTTGTGTGGTGCCCCGAGAGATGGGGGGGGGGGGCGCTGAACGGTCTTTGATACAGTCGAGGGAATGTTCCAGACCTGGGCGTTGAGAGGCTCTGGGCCAGGGGCGGTAAGCGATAGCGCTTAGTTCAAGGGCGGTAATGACGTTTATCTTTCCTCAGATGTAGCCGAATATCTTTGAACCTAAGGGTGGTCGAACCTGGTATACTTGGTTACATTCGGCCAAACAAGAAATGTAAAAGTTACATTCGGCCAAACAAGAAATGTAAAAGTTACATTCGGCCAAACAAGAAATGTAAAAGTTACATTCGGCCAAACAAGAAATGTAAAAGTTACATTCGGCCAAACAAGAAATATTAAAAGTTACATTCGGCCAAACAAGAAATGTAAAACCAGTTGAGAAAAAACTAAAACGAAATGTATCCAAGTTTGTACGATTGCCATATGTTGGAGAATATAGGTGTGCGTCTGTCTTCTAGTGCCAACATTAGTCCAATCAAGGGAAATAATTCTACAATTTCAAAAGTCCACTGAATGTGAAATGTTTGGATTTTGTGGGAAAAGTTTGGAGTCAAAACGTAAAAACAAAATTATGTTTATTAATTAGCAGTAAAAAAAATGATAACATTTTTAAACCAGACAAAAGAGCATCATAATCAGACAACTGGCCATCATAATCAGACAACACCTGCCATAGTTTTTTGCTTACAATTACCGCGTAGATTTTGTTTACAATAGCTGAGAGGGGGGCGGGCTGATTCTATCTTAGAATATCATTAAAATAACAGTGTCAAATTTAAAAAAAAAAATCAACGTTCAGTGCTTCATCCCACACTTCATTCCACACTTCATCACACACTTCATCACACACTTCATCACACACTTCATCACACACTTCATTCCACACTTCATTCCACACTTCATCACACACTTCATTCCACACTTCATCACGCACTTCATTCCACACTTCATCACACACTTCATCACACACTTCATCACACACTTCATCACACACTTCATCACACACTTCATCACACACTTCATCACACACTTCATTCCACACTTCATCACACACTTCATCACACACTTCATTCCACACTTCATCACACACTTCATTCCACACTTCATCACACACTTCATTCCACACTTCATCACACACTTCATCACACACTTCATTCCACACTTCATCACACACTTCATCACACACTTCATCACACACTTCATTCCACACTTCATCACACACTTCATCCCACATTAATATTTGGCGCTAAAGCTGTTGAGATCAACATTTAGCGTGCCGCTAAAGCTGTTGCGATCAACATTTAGCGTGACGCTAAAGCTGTTGCGATCAACATTTAGCGTGACGCTAAAGCTGTTGAGATCAACATTTAGCGTGACGCTAATGTTGTTGCGATCAACATTTAGCGTGACGCTAAAGCTGTTGATATCAACATTTAGCGTGACGCTAAAGCTGTTGCGATCAACACCCCGCAGGGACGCTACGGATTCTGGGATTAAAGCAAGATTTGTTGTTGTTATGACGTCATCAGACTAGACGGTAAAAATTTGGCCTTTCATAGAGTAGATATAGAGTAGAGGTGGGGGGGGGGCTGATATAGTAAATAAACAAGGTACGCATGTTTGTCTTTAGTTCAGACAAAGTGAGATTAGATCCGGTGCTAGGGATCTTACGTTTGTTCGTCTGGTGTGTGGGGAGAGGCCACAGATTATGCTGGTGTGTGGGGAGAGGCCACAGATTAGGTTGGTGTGTGGGGAGAGGCCACAGATTATGCTGGTGTGTGGTGTGTGGGGAGAGGCCACAGATTAGGTTGGTGTGTGGGGAGAGGCCACAGATTAGGTTGGTGTGTGGGGAGAGGCCACAGATTATGCTGGTGTGTGGTGTGTGGGGAGAGGCCACAGATTAGGTTGGTGTGTGGGGAGAGGCCACAGATTAGGTTGGTGTGTGGGGAGAGGCCACAGATTATGCTGGTGTGTGGTGTGTGGGGAGAGGCCACAGATTAGGTTGGTGTGTGGGGAGAGGCCACAGATTATGCTGGTGTGTGGGGAGAGGCCACAGATTATGCTGGTGTGTGGGGAGAGGCCACAGATTATGCTGGTGTGTGGGGAGAGGCCACAGATTATGCTGGTGTGTGGTGTGTGGGGAGAGGCCACAGATTAGGTTGGTGTGTGGGGAGAGGCCACAGATTATAATGTAGACGGGCTGGCCATATGTTTAGATTTATATATAATATATGCGTATGTCATTTGTTTATACAATTAAACACTGGGTTGGTTTACTCGCGTTTTTGTTTGTGCGAGAGTGTGTGCGTGTGTGTGTGCGAGTGTGTGTGTGCCAGTGTGTAATTGCACGCGCGAGTGTGTGTGTGTGTGTGTGTGTGGGTGTGTGTGTGGGGGGGGGGTGTTCATACAGTATTGGTTTATATCTATGGCGCGTATTTGTATGTGTGTATTCAAGAATTAAAAAAGCTCCAACTCTAAAGGTCTACACTTTTTTGTGGGAATTTTTTCCTGCAAAAGCCAGCTTTAGCAAGCTAGCTCAGACTTCCGGTCTAATGTTTGCCGCGGGAGGGTAGGGCGAAGCTTATTTGTAGCAAAAAAATCTTTGAAATTGTGTTGCATCATTGAAGAAGCTGTGCTCGATGAACCAGCCCGACCGTCGGGCTAACGAAATCTAAAAACCTGGGTCCGCAAGGATTAGCTTCATCACGGAATCAAAACATTGACATCTGCTGCCGGGGTTGTTGACATCTGCTGCCGGGGTTATTGACATCTGCTGCCGGGGTTGTTAATCCTGGCCATTGACCCCTGGCTTTTAAATGACTTAATTAATTCTTCCCATCGTAGTCCCGATATAATTCGTTTTCCAATCAAGTAGACTTAAATCTAATAATTTCAATGTTTCTAAATTAGCGTAAAGCCATACAGATGTATTCTATATAATAGTTTCGCTGTCTGTCTATCTATCTATCTATCTGACAAGAACGCTGTAGAGAAAACACAAGCAAAATAAAAACATGCACAGTAATTCGAAAAACGAAGTATGACGCGGTCACATTTAGCATAGAGTAGAAAATAATCTCCAGTCGGAGAGTGCACACAGTAATATGACGTAATTGATTTTCGAGTAAACATTGAATAAAAATGAAATTTTGTCTAATCTAAATGGTTTGCGTGAAGAGTTTCTTACAAACAATTCTTCGGGTAGGGGCGAAGCCCCACCCCCCGCGTAAGAACGTCTGAGCCCCCACCCCTCCCCAACTCAAAAGAAATTTCTTCATCGATACTCTATAATAAAATTACCGCCTAATTAATGTGTCTAATCTAAAAAGTGGTTTTCTCGCAATTTCTTTAATGCAATTCTTCGGGTAGTGGCTAAGCGCGACACCAGTGTTTCTTTCAGACTTTTTCCTCCCCGGAGAGGGGTGGGGGTACTTGAAATTTTCGGGGGCGGGGGTAGAATTTTCGGGGATGGGGCGGACACTGGAGAAAGTATATAATTATATTTCGTTGAATGGGACGGTAGACATGTTTTTTGGGGGGTGGAGGTGGGGGGTGGGGTGGATGTGTGGGTGGTGTGGGTGGGGGGTGGGGGTGGTGTGTGGGGGGGGGGGGTGGGGTGGTTTTAGTTTAGAGAAAAGAGACAGCACTATCAACCTAGCGCCCGGTGTATCCTTCCTCAACGGGCCATTTTTCTCGTGTATATATGTTAGTCTAATTTTCTTTTATTATTATTTTTTTTTGTCTGTCGATGTCTAATCCAAGGTTGATTAATGGAAATCTGACATGATCATCAATTAGCGGGAGGCTTTAGAAGTCTAGTCTGTCGTGTATGCTGTGGTCTATAGCACGTTTAGACCTCTAGTCTGTCGTGTATGCTGTGGCCTATAGCACGTTTAGACCTCTAGTCTGTCGTGTATGCTGTGGTCTATAGCACGTTTAGACCTCTAGTCTGTCGTGTATGCTGTGGTCTATAGCACGTTTAGACCTCTAGTCTGTCGTGTATGCTGTGGTCTATAGCACGTTTAGACCTCTGTCGTGTATGCTGTGGCCTATAGCACGTTTAGACCTCTAGTCTGTCGTGTATGCTGTGGTCTATAGCAAGTTTAGACCTCTAGTCTGTCGTGTATGCTGTGGTCTATAGCACGTTTAGACCTCTGTCGTGTATGCTGTGGTCTATAGCACGTTTAGACCTCTAGTCTGTCGTGTATGCTGTGGTCTATAGCACGTTTAGACCTCTAGTCTGTCGTGTATGCTGTGGTCTATAGCACGTTTAGACCTCTGTCGTGTATGCTGTGGTCTATAGCACGTTTAGACCTCTGTCGTGTATGCTGTGGTCTATAGCACGTTTAGACCTCTAGTCTGTCGTGTATGCTGTGGTCTATAGCACGTTTAGACCTCTGTCGTGTATGCTGTGGTCTATAGCACGTTTAGACCTCTAGTCTGTCGTGTATGCTGTGGTCTATAGCACGTTTAGACCTCTGTCGTGTATACTGTGGTCTATAGCACGTTTAGACCTCTGTCGTGTATGTTGTGGCCTATAGCACGTTTAGACCTCTAGTCTGTCGTGTATGCTGTGGTCTATAGCAAGTTTAGACCTCTAGTCTGTCGTGTATGCTGTGGTCTATAGCACGTTTAGACCTCTGTCGTGTATGCTGTGGTCTATAGCACGTTTAGACCTCTAGTCTGTCGTGTATGCTGTGGTCTATAGCACGTTTAGACCTCTGTCGTGTATGCTGTGGTCTATAGCACGTTTAGACCTCTGTCGTGTATGCTGTGGTCTATAGCACGTTTAGACCTCTAGTCTGTCGTGTATGCTGTGGTCTATAGCACGTTTAGACCTCTGTCGTGTATGCTGTGGTCTATAGCACGTTTAGACCTCTGTCGTGTATGCTGTGGTCTATAGCACGTTTAGACCTCTGTCGTGTATGCTGTGGTCTATAGCAAGTTTAGACCACTGTCGTGTATGCTGTGGTCTATAGCACGTTTAGACCTCTAGTCTGTCGTGTATGCTGTGGTCTATAGCACGTTTAGACCTCTAGTGTTGTGGTCTATAGCACGTTTAGACCTCTGTCGTGTATGCTGTGGTCTATAGCACGTTTAGACCTCTAGTGCTGTGTTCTATAGCACGTTTAGACCTCTGTCGTGTATGCTGTGGTCTATAGCACGTTTAGACCTCTGTCGTGTATGCTGTGGTCTATAGCACGTTCAGACCTCTGTCGTGTATGCTGTGGTCTATAGCACGTTTAGACCTCTAGTCTGTCGTGTATGCTGTGGTCTATAGCACGTTTAGACCTCTGTCGTGTATGCTGTGGTCTATAGCACGTTTAGACCTTTGTCGTGTATGCTGTGGTCTATAGCACGTTTAGACCTCTCGTCTGTCGTGTATGCTGTGGTCTATAGCACGTTCAGACCTCTGTCGTGTATGCTGTGGTCTATAGCACGTTTTGACCTCTAGTATGTCGTGTATGTTGTGGTCTATAGCACGTTTAGACCTCTAGTCTGTCGTGTATGCTGTGGTCTATAGCACGTTTAGAACTCTGTCGTGTATGCTGTGGTCTATAGCACGTTTAGACCTCTAGTCTGTCGTGTATGCTGTATTCTATAGCACGTTTAGACCTCTAGTCTGTCGTGTATGCTGTGGTCTATAGCACGTTTAGACCTCTAGTCTGTCGTGTATGCTGTGGTCTATAGCACGTTTAGACCTCTAGTATGTCGTGTATGCTGTGGTCTATAGCACGTTTAGACCTCTAGTCTGTCGTGTATGCTGTGGTCTATAGCACGTTTAGACCTCTAGTATGTCGTGTATGCTGTGGTCTATAGCACGTTTAGACCTCTCGTCTGTCGTGTATGCTGTGGTCTATAGCACGTTTAGACCTCTGTCGTGTATGCTGTGGTCTATAGCACGTTTAGACCTCTGTCGTGTATGCTGTGGTCTATAGCACGTTTAGACCTCTGTCGTGTATGTTGTGGTCTATAGCACGTTTAGACCTCTAGTCTGTCGTGTATGCTGTGGTCTATAGCACGTTTAGACCTCTGTCGTGTATGCTGTGGTCTATAGCACGTTTAGACCTCTGTCGTGTATGCTGTGGTCTATAGCACGTTTAGACCTCTGTCGTGTATGCTGTGGTCTATAGCACGTTTTGACCTCTGTCGTGTATGCTGTGGTCTATAGCACGTTTAGACCTCTGTCGTGTATGCTGTGGTCTATAGCACGTTTAGACCTCTGTCGTGTATGCTGTGGTCTATAGCAAGTTTAGACCTCTAGTCTGTCGTGTATGCTGTGGTCTATAGCACGTTTAGACCTCTGTCGTGTATGCTGTGGTCTATAGCACGTTTAGACCTCTGTCGTGTATGCTGTGGTCTATAGCACGTTTAGACCTCTGTCGTGTATGCTGTGGTCTATAGCACGTTTAGACCTCTGTCGTGTATGCTGTGGTCTATAGCACGTTTAGACCTCTGTCGTGTATGCTGTGGTCTATAGCACGTTTAGACCTCTAGTCTGTCGTGTATGCTGTGGTCTATAGCACGTTTAGACCTCTAGTCTGTCGTGTATGCTGTGGTCTATAGCACGTTTAGACCTCTAGTCTGTCGTGTATGCTGTGGTCTATAGCACGTTTAGACCTCTGTCGTGTATGCTGTGGTCTATAGCACGTTTAGACCTCTGTCGTGTATGCTGTGGTCTATAGCACGTTTAGACCTCTAGTCTGTCGTGTATGCTGTGGTCTATAGCACGTTTAGACCTCTAGTCTGTCGTGTATGCTGTGGTCTATAGCACGTTTAGACCTCTGTCGTGTATGCTGTGGTCTATAGCACGTTTAGACCTCTGTCGTGTATGCTGTGATCTATAGCACGTTTAGACCTCTGTCGTGTATGCTGTGGTCTATAGCACGTTTAGACCTCTGTCGTGTATGCTGTGGTCTATAGCACGTTTAGACCTCTGTCGTGTATGCTGTGGTCTATAGCACGTTTAGACCTCTGTCGTGTATGCTGTGGTCTATAGCACGTTTAGACCTCTGTCGTGTATGCTGTGGTCTATAGCACGTTTAGACCTCTAGTCTGTCGTGTATGCTGTGGTCTATAGCACGTTTAGACCTCTGTCGTGTATGCTGTGGTCTATAGCACGTTTAGACCTCTGTCGTGTATGCTGTGGTCTATAGCACGTTTAGACCTCTGTCGTGTATGCTGTGGTCTATAGCACGTTTAGACCTCTAGTGCTGTGGTCTATAGCACCTTTAGACCTCTAGTCTGTCGTGTATGCTGTGGTCTATAGCACGTTTAGACCTCTGTCGTGTATGCTGTGGTCTATAGCAAGTTTAGACCTCTGTCGTGTATGCTGTGGTCTATAGCACGTTTAGACCTCTGTCGTGTATGCTGTGGTCTATAGCACGTTTAGACCTCTAGTCTGTCGTGTATGCTGTGGTCTATAGCACGTTTAGACCTCTGTCGTGTATGCTGTGGTCTATAGCACGTTTAGACCTCTGGTGGCTACTTGCCTCGTCTAGAGAAACTAGAGGCGGCTGGGCATTGGCTGACCACACCAACCCTTCATGGGCCGAGGTAAAAATCATAAACTCTACTTCATCTGCCCTATTGATCGTTCGATCTGAAAGGGGAACCTGACTTCACTTACATAGCATGTCATATCAGATGTCATATCAGATGTCAGTACTACTGTCAGTACGAGGTCTTGAAATCATGTCAAAATCAACTCACCTGACATGAGGGTAATCCGATAGCGACGGGTCCGGCTAGCGGCAGACGGTAGACGTCCGTAGAGCGGCGGGTCCGGCTAGCGGCGGGCGTCAAACGTAAGCCCCTACCTGTAGCTTCTATGAGAACTGTCTGCTAGATCAGTGAGCCCAACTGACGGCTGAGTGAGGGGGTGAGTAAGGGGGGGGGGGGGTGAGTGGGGGGGGGTCTGCGCAACTTGTCTGAGGGACTGCTCGCTGTGACGTCACACTGCATGGGCGGGGTAAAGGGGGGTTTCTCGGACGGTGTTTGGGGTGGGGGAAGTAATTTTAATAAGGAGAAGAGGTGATTTAAAAGATCGGGTAGTGGTTGTTTAAAGGATGGAACAGGGGCATGTTAGGACGGGTAGGAGTGGGCGGTGCCAGAGATGGATGAATACAGGCTGAAGGGAGAGGAAACAAAGATGTTTATCTTCTAGACACTGCACTGGTGATGTCTTAATGAAAGTTAAAGGCTACTGGACTAAGTTAACTGATGTGATGACCTGACTGTCCTGACCTACTGATGTGATGACCTTACTGTCCTGACCTAACCGTCATGACCTACTGATGTGATGATCCCACTCTCCTGACCTACTGATGTGATGACCTCACTGTCCTGACCTACTGATGTGGTGACCTCACTGTACTGGCCTAACCGTCCTGACCTACTGATGTGATGACCTCACTGTCCTGACCTACTGATGTGATGACCTCACTGTCCTGACTTAACCGTCCTGACCTACTGATGTGATGACCTCACTGTCCTGACCTACTGATGTGATGACCTCACTGTCCTGACCTACTGTTGTGATGACCTGACTGTCCTGACCTAACCGTCCTGACCTACTGATGTGATGACCTCACTATCCTGACCTACTGTTGTGATGACCTCACTGTCCTGACCTAACCGTCCTGACCTACTGATGTGATGACCTCACTGTCATGACCTACTGATGTGATGACCTCACTGTCCTGACCTACTGATGTGATGACCTCACTGTCCTGACCTACTGTTGTGATGACCTGACTGTCCTGACCTAACCGTCCTGACCTACTGATGTGATGACCTCACTATCCTGACCTACTGATGTGATGACCTCACTGTCCTGACCTACTGATGTGATGACCTCACTGTCCTGACCTACTGTTGTGATGACCTGACTGTCCTGACCTAACCGTCCTGACCTACTGATGTGATGACCTCACTATCCTGACCTACTGATGTGATGAACTCACTGTCCTGACCTAACCGTCCTGACCTACTGATGTGATGACCTCACTGTCCTGACCTACTGATGTGATGACCTAACCGTCTTGACCTACTGATGTGATGACCTCACTCTCCTGACCTACTGATGTGATGACCTCACTGTCCTGACCTAACCGTCCTGACCTACTTATGCGATGAATGACCTACTGTCCTGACCTACTGATGTGATGACCTGACTGTCCTGACCTACTGATGTGATGCTCTCACTATCCTGACCTAACCATCATGACCTACTGATGTGATGACCTCACTGTCATGACCTACTGATGTGATGACCTAACCGTCTTGACCTACTGATGTGATGACACCACTCTCCTGACCTACTGATGTCATGACCTCACTGTCATGACCTAACCATCCTGACCTACTTATGCGATGAATGACCTACTGTCCTGACCTACTGATGTGATGACCTCACTGTCCTGACCTAACCATCCTGACCTACTTATGCGATGAATGACCTACTGTCCTGACCTACTGATGTGATGACCTCACTGTCCTGACCTAACCATCCTGACCTACTTATGCGATGAATGACCTCACTGTCCTGACCTACTGATGTGATGACCTCACTGTCCTGACCTACTGTTGTGATGACCTGACTGTCCTGACCTAACCGTCCTGACCTACTGATGTGATGACCTCACTATCCTGACCTACTGATGTGATGACCTCACTGTCCTGACCTAACCGTCCTGACCTACTGATGTGATGACCTCACTGTCCTGACCTACTGATGTGATGACCTCACTGTCCTGACCTACTGTTGTGATGACCTGACTGTCCTGACCTAACCGTCCTGACCTACTGATGTGATGACCTCACTATCCTGACCTACTGATGTGATGACCTCACTGTCCTGACCTAACCGTCCTGACCTACTGATGTGATGACCTCACTGTCCTGACCTACTGATGTGATGACCTAACCGTCTTGACCTACTGATGTGATGACCTCACTCTCCTGACCTACTGATGTGATGACCTCACTGTCCTGACCTAACCGTCCTGACCTACTTATGCGATGAATGACCTACTGTCCTGACCTACTGATGTGATGACCTGACTGTCCTGACCTACTGATGTGATGCTCTCACTATCCTGACCTAACCATCATGACCTACTGATGTGATGACCTCACTGTCATGACCTACTGATGTGATGACCTAACCGTCTTGACCTACTGATGTGATGACCTCACTCTCCTGACCTACTGATGTCATGACCTCACTGTCATGACCTAACCATCCTGACCTACTTATGCGATGAATGACCTACTGTCCTGACCTACTGATGTGATGACCTCACTGTCCTGACCTAACCATCCTGACCTACTTATGCGATGAATGACCTACTGTCCTGACCTACTGATGTGATGACCTCACTGTCCTGACCTAACCATCCTGACCTACTTATGCGATGAATGACCTACTGTCCTGACCTACTGATGTGATGACCTCACTGTCCTGACCTAACCATCATGACCTACTTATGCGATGAATGACCTACTGTCCTGACCTACTGATGTGATGACCTCACTGTCCTGACCTAACCATCCTGACCTACTTATGCGATGAATGACCTACTGTCCTGACCTACTGATGTGATGACCTACTGTCCTGACCTACTGATGTGGTGACCTCACTGTCCTGACCTAACCGTCATGACCTACTAATGTGATGACCTGACTGTCCTGACCTACTGATGTGATGACCTTACTGTCCTGACCTAACCCTCATGAACTACTGATGTGATGACCTAACCGTCATGACCTACTGATGTGATGACCTGACTGTCATGACTTATTGATGTGATGAACTCACTCTCCTGACCTACTGATGTGATGACCTGACTGTCCTGACCTACTGATGTGATGACCTTACTGTCCTGACCTAACCCTCATGAACTACTGTGTGATGACCTCATTGTCATAACCTACTAATGTGATGAACTCACTGACCTGACCTAACCGTCAAGACCTACTAATATGATGACCTGACTGTCCTGAACTACTGATGTGATGACCTAACCGTCATGACCTACTGATGTGATGACCTGACTGTCATGACTTATTGATGTGATGAACTCACTCTCCTGACCTACTGATCTGATGACCTTACTGTTCTTATTATGTATAGAGTGTCTTGTCAACCAAACAACAGTCCATCAACTCAGACGACATCACCTCCGTACAGAACATACCTTTCGCCCCCCCCCCCCCCCCTACCCCATTTGTCACTGTAGTCAGCCACCCCTGGATCGCAACCCACCTTATCCAATCCTCATCTGCCCCCCCTCCCCCTTGTATTACGTCTGCCCCCCCCCCCCCTTGTATTACGTCTGCCCCCCCCCCACCTCTTGTATTACGTCTGCCCCGTGTTGCCCGCTGCCTTATCTCAAATGTAAACACGATCACGTGACGATAAGAGCCAATGAATGAACTGTTGTCAGGTTTATTTACCGTTCACGTGTTCGTTCATATTTTCAAATCCAACATCCCATTCGGTTGGAAGGGAAATCTTTATCCAACATCCCATTCGGTTGTAAGGAAAATTGTTATGATGAGTTATTGGATGTTGATATTTATAAGGATTTTGCAGAAGATAATTTAAAAATTAATGTTGCTGATGATGCTATTATAGATGATGAAAACGACAGTATGACTTCAGTGGTTTGCACCTGATGTTCAGAACATTCCAGAAGCAGCTTCTACACCAAAGATGGCTGAACTTAATGACGTGGACCAAAATATGGCTGGACGTCATGCTCTAATTAATATGTTGGCACCCAACTTTAATTTGACGTCATCTTTCATCAATTGTGATGTCATACTCATCAAGTTTGAAATACACCCTGACATGTCAGCAACATGCTACATCATCACCACATACAGACTGGCTACAACATCACCACATACAGACTGGCTACAACATCACCACATACAGGCTGGCTACATCATCACCACATACAGGCTGGCTACAACATCACCACATACAGACTGGCTACAACATCACCACATACAGGCTGGCTACAACATCACCACATACAGACTGGCTACAACATCACCACATACAGGCTGGCTACAACATCACCACATACAGACTGGCTACAACATCACCACATACAGACTGGCTACAACATCACCACATACAGGCTGGCTACAACATCACCACATACAGACTGGCTACAACATCACCACATACAGGCTGGCTACAACATCACCACATACAGACTGGCTACAACATCACCACATACAGACTGGCTACAACATCACCACATACAGACTGGCTACAACATCACCACATACAGACTGGCTACAACATCACCACATACAGACTGGCTACAACATCACCAGACTGGCTACAACATCACCACATACAGGCTGGCTACAACATCACCACATACAGACTGGCTACAACATCACCACATACAGACTGGCTTTAACATCACCACATACAGACTGGCTACAACATCACCACATACAGACTGGCTACAACATCACCACATACAGACTGGCTACAACATCACCAGACTGGCTACAACATCACCACATACAGGCTGGCTACAACATCACCAGACTGGCTACAACATCACCACATACAGACTGGCTACAACATCACCACATACAGACTGGCTACAACATCACCACATACAGACTGGCTACAACATCACCAGACTGGCTACAACATCACCACATACAGACTGGCTACAACATCACCACATACAGACTGGCTACAACATCACCACATACAGACTGGCTACAACATCACCACATACAGACTGGCTACAACATCACCACATACAGACTGGCTACAACATCACCACATA